CAAAGGAGGCTGACCCGTCCCTCCAGCTACACTCTTCCGATTGCTTTTTTATATCAGGGAAATGTTTAACTTAAGAGGTGAATCAAAGATTTGTATGTTCTAAAACTTTCAGAACAACATATCATACCTTTAAAAGTCTGCACAAGGCATTTAACAAAGGCCTCTTTTTTCTAAGTGTACAGTTCAACCCTAGACCAATTTACCTGGAGGGAGGAACTTTTCTTATCTTTTTATTAGTACCTGATATTAGCCTCTAGTTTTTATCTCATACTGTGTGGGCTCAGGCAACCCCATTGACTTCCCTTTTGTAAGTTTAATCAACACTGTCTTAAGGGCAGATTTATATGCTATCTTATAATCAGGCAGGGGAAACGTTCCCCAGTGAGACACGACGACTATCCCCACAATACAATCTATGACACAATTAGGCAAAAAGAGATACGATCACTTCAGATAAAGCCCGTAAATATATCAGTTTTTCTACAAAATTTCATCTGAATTCTGTCAACTCTTATACCTCTAATCATAGTTTTCATTAGGAGTTTATCAATAGGTCTTCGTCTTATAATTTTGGACAGCGGAAGCATTCCCAGTCAGACATTTTAAAACATACTCAGGCAAAGTTGATATAACCTCTTTATATAAAACTAGCTCAAACATTCCAACCTTTATAATGTTATCAACACTTATACTTTTACATTTTCTCAGTTTAATTGTAACCTGAGTTAGAATCTTTAGGCTAGTTATTATTTTTTTGTATTGCCTTTTTTTGATTTGGCCTTTTTATAGGTACCAATAAAACAGTTATGATGAGAGTGCTCACAACGTTTTTTTCCCCAATTTAGAAGTTTTTCCAATTTAAACAATCCATCGTCTGGCCACATTGACGAGCAGGATCTTAACAGCGACTCATACCCATAAGCTTAACCATGGATGTAAGAGGTGTCCACAAAAGAGATCCAGAAAATTCACTCCCCAAAATAGCCTAAGAAAGCAAAGGCCATTGTTGCACAACAAGCAACGAAGGTTGAGAGACAAAGGCCCCTTATGAAAGCAATTGGGACCCCTTATGACAAACTCCCCTGAGAGCTGACACAGCTGGACAAAGAGAGCAACTCCCAAAACCCCAGTCTACTTGACTGACCGCCAAGATGCGTGCTGTTACATGCATCCTCCAGATGGCGGAGACAAGAAAGGTCACAATGCCAAGCTCTCAAGACACAGAGCAAGACAAAAGAAAAACACCTCATCTGACATGTGCATTAACAGCTTTAGCTAAGCTTTGGGTCTCTTGGAGCCAGAATAATACCTAAGAGGGAGGTGCCGCAGGGTTGGGGATCGTGTGTGCTTTACAGAGTACCTCATCATTGCATGGATATTTTCTTGAAGTTGGTGGGGGGACTTGTGTCATCTACTCCATTCTGTGACCCAACTCATCCTTTCAGAGGAGACCTCTTGAGGTCTATGGTGCCCTAATAGCTCTTAACTGCTTGATCCATGCCCACCAAATTTTTGGCCTTTTTGGCTTCCAAGATGCCCTTAGCAATAGCTTTCACCTCATGCGCATATTCCCAGACATCAAGCTTATAGAGATGCCTGTGTCTTATGAAAAACAGCAAAAAAGACACAGACAAGGAAAAATACTATCTCTGGGAGGAAAAGGATCTACTCCTAATGAGTACTCAACCAAATTTCCTAGAGTTGCTGAGTCCAAGAAGCTAGCTTCACCAATATTTTCTCCTGGTAATATAAATTTAGAAAAGGAAGAAAACTCACCACTCTCGCTTCCTTGGACCCTGCAGGCAGAGATCTGGGAGACTGACATGGTAAGAACTCTTACCTCCTGCTGGCTCTTGTCAGGGGTCCAGGATCTCTTGGCTACAGTAGTTCCAGGAGTGAGCAGTGTCCAGCCAGTGAAATTTTATCCCGTTTAAGTTGCCAAACTGTAGGGGAGGAAGACATATCCTCTACCCTCTGGGTCCTTCTGGCTGGGGTATGAATTAAATTGCCATGAGACAGAATAAGAGGAGAATTTGAACAAAGCTTCATGACATGTATACATGGGAGAAACCCAGGAAAAACTGAGTAACTCGCCAAAATGGTAGAGACTCTCATCTTAAATACTATCTTCAGCTAAAGACAAAGGAGGATGTTGGGGGTGGGGGAGTGAGTTATGGGAGATTACCAGAAAAGCTTGAGTAAAGGGTAAGGTTATTATGCAGATTTAAGTCCTTGCCTTTCTCACTGATAAGAGTTTCTAGAGATAAGGTCATCTCTGCATCTTCCTGGTACAGAGAGGGAGATATCTTTACAGGTGGGGATTTCCCTTACAAATGTAAATGTCACTTACAAAGGGTAAATTTTACTTTTCAGAGCTTCTCCCACGTCTGCAGTTTTTAAAAGTAAGCAGCCCAAAATAATCCTTATGCCAAAGAGACACAAGTTGGGGTAGCCAATTCTAATCCCCCACACCCCTTGTCCTGCCTGCATCTAGGGGAGAGCAGGCACGGGAGGGTCAGAGTGCACTCTGGGTGGTGAACTTGAGCCAGACCTGGAGCCCACCCCTAGGACTGAGTGGGGGGTGCTGATTGTGGCCCTTGACCACTGTCATGTGGGGAGTAACATTGTGCTGTGGGTCAGGGGCACGAGGCTGTCACAGAGTGGGCCGCAGGGGGAACACAAGACCAGGAATCGCTGCTGCCTTGACCAGTATGCAGTCTGGCTCCCTCAGCACTGGTGAGGGACAGAGCAGCCCAGTAAGCCTTGGATGGAGAGCCAGTTGTCCCAAGATGGGGGCACACACTTAATCCATGGCAAATACAGTTAGGACTTGAGGGGACATCACAATTTTCTTTTCTTTTCTTTTCTTTTTTTTTTTTTTGTGAGGAAGATCAGCCCTGAGCTAACATCCGTGCTAGTTCTCCTCTTTTTGCTGAGGAAGACTGGCTCTGAGCTAACATCTATTGCCAGTCCTCCTCCTTTTTTTCCCCAAAGCCCGAGTAGATAGTTGTATGTCATAGTTGCACATCCTTCTAGTTGCTGTATGTGGGACGGGGCCTCGGCGTGGCCAGAGAAGCGGTGCGTCAGTGCGCGCCCGGGATCCGAACCCGCGCCGCCAGTAGTGGAATGCGCGCACTTAACCAGTAAGCCACGGGGCTGGCCCCATCACAATTTTCTACTGCCATCAGTTTCAACCCATGTGGTTTCCTGTCACAGCGTTTCTGGTCTCAGGGCACAGGCGTGTCAGTGGTCATGGGGACTAGTGGAAGACACTTCAGGGTCTGGGGAGGCTCTCTGCCCTTCTTAGCTTGGAAACTAAGCTTTGTGACAGTGAGACAAAGAATGGGTGTAGATTTAACTGGAATTTTCCGGTAACTGGTATATAAACTCCCCCAGCCATTTCCTCAGCTGCTAACAAGATGCGATGGCCAGACTCAGGGCTGTGTCTCCTTGAAGCACCTGGGTCTGAGGCCTCCTGCTCTTTCACGGCTCTCCCTGAAACTGCAGTGTGGTAGTGTGGGCTGGGTTAAAGAAGACAGGGCTCATCACTCTCTGCTCTTCCTCACTCTGGGTGCCAGGAGCTGGCTGAGCTGTCAGGTGTCCGAGTGGTCAGTTCAGACCAGCAGCCAGAATGAATGTAACAGTGCAGCCTGTCAAGTCTTACTGAGGTGGTACCAGCAGGCGCCGGCTCCCCTGTTCCATCTCCCTGGGGACCGGGTGAGGATCAGGTGTATGGGGGGAGTGGGAGGAAGGGCTAGGAGTGGAAGGGTACTGAGTGCTCAGCCAGGGCCCCCATAAGCAGTCCTCCAGGTGGAGGTCCCTGGGCCCAGAATGCAGACATGGGAGGGAGCACGGGCCAGGGTCCTTGCCAGCAACTCCCTCTGAGACCGCAGTGCACTGGCCGCGCCCCAGGCCCGGGGTGGGGAGAGCAGCTTCCCCGTGAGCCTGCCTGGGAAGCCTTTGTCACTGCCTGTGGGCGGGCCCGAGGGGTCACACTTAGGGGTTTGGCCAGGAGACAGGCTCCAGCGCCCTGGCCTCCCTGGCACAGCCTGGTTCCCACAGGCCTCAGTAACCTCCAGGTGCTTGGCCAGGCCTTGTCAGTCCTAGCGGTCCGCGGCCTGTGTGTCCCCCAGACTGGGGTCTCCGGGCGCCCCTGTCAGCTCACAGCTGCCGCAGGGGCTCTGGTTCCCAAGGAGAGGTAGATGTTCATTGTCCCCAATCGAGTGAGTGGGTGACGACGGGAAGCAGATGCCTTGTCAGGAATGAAGAGGGGGGAGTATCTAGAAGGTGCTTCACAGACCACCCCTGACGGCCAGAGGGATGGAGGCCATGAAAGAAGGGGGTTGCTCAGGAAACTGGGCACCTCCCGGGGGGGAGTTCAGGCCGCTGGTTGGCGGGGGCCCCAGGCTGACTCCGTTCTTACCCCTCATTCCTGTCCTCAGCGGGGGCGGCAGCCTCAGCTGTAGAGGGGCTGGACCTGGCTGCGCCTCGGAGAAGAATGTTGGGATAAAAGCTGTTTTCATTGTGTTCTGGGCAGGAGGAGTTGAAAGAGCGTCTAAGAAAACTCCTGCTCTCTGATCAGAAAAAGTGGGCCGAATCTCTCCAGCCAATGTTCCACAACATCCGCCAGGTAAATGCCAGCTCTCCTTTCAAGCCCACCACAAGGCTTCCTGGCCCTTCCTGAGTGCCCGGCGGGTGGGGGCAGGCCTATGTGACTGACGGTGGTCAGGGGCGAGGTGCAGCAAGGAGGGGACAGGGCAGGGTGGAGATTGGGGCTCAGGGGCATTTCAGCAAGGACAGCGTTGGGGTATACACACTGTCTGAGGGCGTCGGGCGGAGACAAGCGGGGAACAGACAGCACTCAACCCGGAGGCCTGGCCCGTGAATGGTGGGGTCCCGGTGCTGGGGTGCAGGGCGTATCTTTTGGGGAGAGGCCTCTTCCTGGAGCCTCTCAGCTCATGAACTTGACTGCCCGGGTCTCAGTGAGGACCTGCGTAGAGATGGGTGCCTGGGGCGGGCGGGACTTCTGCAGGGAGGGTGCTGAGCCTCGAGGATGTGGTCATTTGGCCCATGAGAGTGAGGTATGTTTGGCCCAGGAGCAGGACAGGCCACCAGCCTGTGTGTGTGTGTGTGTGTGTGTGTGTGTGTTTGTGTCTTGGAGGGGTGGGTTTTTTTTTAGAGGATCTGGGGCCAGGGGTTTCTGTTGCTTCCTTGACCACTCAGGGTCAGAGGGAGAAAAGGAGATGCTGGGGACGTTGGGTGTACTCAATGCCTTTATGCCAAGATGCCCTGTGCAGAGTGTCGGGTGGGGAGTTAGCAGCTCGGGGGCGGGGGGCCACCTCCGGTCCAAACGGGAGAAGCCCAGAGTGTGGATGAGGACGTTGTTCAGGTTGGTTGATTACAGGACACAGTGGGGGGTGCGAGGGAGAGAGGCCTGCCAGGATGGGGGGGTCATGCTCCTGGTGCGAGGCGTGACATCTGCAGCAGTCAGGGGGGCAAGGGATGGGGACAGCTGTGACAGGCATGAAGTTGGGGAGGGCCACATCCTCCCAGTGTCCACTGGCTGTGATCAGCCCTGGGTCCCCCTGAAAGCCTGCTTGCTTTGACTGACAGCTGTTGGAAGAAACCATAAACGCAGTCCGACACAATGGGCCGCCCATCACCAGACAGGTTCAAGACATGGTTCTAGGAACATTTTCAAAGTTTCTGGAAAGGTAAGTGCAAAGGTGGCCCCTGCCCAGCCAGGGGGCATGGGCGGCTGAGTCCACGTAACTCAAGTCAGAGCACTAACCAAGCCCACCAGCTGCTGGCTACCACGCCCTTAGCCAGTCCCTGATGCAGGGGAAGGGGGCAGGGTTGACTTCAGGTCCCCCAGTCCCCTTGCTCCCCCTCCCACCCTGGCTCTGGAGACAGCCGAGTGTGACCACGGAAATGTCCCAGGCACCAGCCCCAGGGGGCTGTTGAGCGAGTTCCCTGGAGGTACTGAGGGTTAGATTGTATTTAATGTTAATTAGTTGACGTTTGAACAGCACACGGGGCTCGGGGCTCCTGTGTTGGACAGCAGGGCTGGGATTGGGGGGCCAGGGAGGGCGTCGGGGAAGTGCAGGGTCTGAGCCTGTCCTTATTTAAAATTTGACATGTTGCTCATCATGGATTCTTTTGCAGTGGTTTCGAGTTTTACAAGTATCCCAGTAAATTACTGTTTATCTTGGTCACTCAACTTCTGGGTGCTCCCTTAAACCTGCAGCGGGGGCAGTGTCCACTTCCCAGCTCTGGTTTTCATAGCAGCAGTCAAACCTCTGGGCCCCTCACCCAGCTCTGTGTGGGCGGGGCCTCTGCCTCTGCCTCTGTCCTAGGGGCCTGGGCGAGGGTAGGTGCTGTGGACTCCTTGGTCCCACAGGGAGTTATTAAGAAGCAAGTTCTGGATGAAGCGCTGTGTGCGGCCGCATCAGGAGGCTCCTTTCTCTGGGGTCTTCAGATGGTCGTGTTCACCTGGGACAGGGTCTCCAGAGGGGCTGGCACCAGGTGGGTTACTTAAGAGAGGCTGGACACGTGGAATTTTAGGTGAAATCAGCCAGGTTTAAATGTTACAGAAAACCAGCTAAGTGCCCAGTTTGAAACCTTGATCCGCATTCTTGGGACTCACTCAAGAGTGCCCATTCTTTCCTGCCTTTGGGGAGCAGGGAGGATATGAGCTCTCCCCAACCTCTCCCCACTCTCTGCTCAGGGCAGTGGGGGGACAGCTGTGATGGCCCAGGCGGGCATGGGGCGCTGCCTCCTCCTCTTGTGAACACTCCCAGACCTTACTCAGCCTCTCACAGGAGGCCAGCCTGCCTCCAGGAGTGCTGAATTCTCCCCGGCCTTCTCCTTCACCAGCCGGGAAGGGCAGGCCTCTAGAATGCAGCATATGCTGTGATTCCAGACCACAGGAAAAACCCCACTCCCATCCTGTTCTGGAAGCATTGACCCCAAAGGGTCATGGAGAGCATTAGATGAGAAGATCCTTAGGAAGCATCTAGTCCGTTCCTGGCACAGAGCCAGCCCAAGTACAACCTCGCTGCCTTGTCTCCATCATGGTTATCATCACCCTTATTTGTGATTCTATGAGAGAAGCAGCAGTTGAGCTGAGAAGGGAGAGTTGGGAGGGTCCAGCGGGGTGGTGCCGAGCTGTGGGGCTGTGCCTGGTCTGAGGGGCTGGCATCTCCGCCTTCACACTGAAGCTACAAGGACGAGGCTGCACGCTTCATCCAGCAGAACGCCGGTGACCAGACCTTCCCCGAGCTGCACGTGCTGGAAAACTGCTGCATCCTCAGGTGTGTCCCCGTAGGGGGCAGGGGGCCAGCTGAGCTGGCAGCTAGGTGGCCAGGCTTTGGACCCTCTGGGCCAATCCATGTGGACCGTAGATTTGTTGCCATCTGTGATAAAAGAGTGAAGACATCCCCCCTCCCCCCACCACCACACATGCGTGTAGGGAATTGCAGGATTTCGTGTGGGAAACACCAGCTGCCAATAACACTGGCTGCCTCTGGGGAGAGGAGGTTTTCACTGTACCTTTTGTGTTTTAAGCCACATGGATGTAACACTTATTCCATAAATGCGTTTAGAAAAAACAGTGGGGATGAAACAGACAACAGCAACAGAAGTGAGCATCTGTTTCCCATCGGTTCTGGCGGAGGGAGCATGGACCGACACCATGCATCTCGGGGGCTATGCTGGGCCCACATGGCCCCCGGACAGCCCCACGGGCCCCTTTGGTTGCCCCCAACAGGAACACATGGGAGTCGCTGACCCAGGCCCACGTTTCCCCGTCCGACTTGGACCCAACTGTGCAAGGTGACATCAGATTTATTGAGGACCGTGGCCGGGACCACCTCCTGCCTCGAGTCAGAGCCCTGTGCCAGGTGATGCCCACCCCCCAGCCCTGGCTTGGGGTCTTTTCTGCTCCCAGAGAACCTGGGCAGGAGGCCTGTCTCCCTGGCTTCTGTCCAGCCCAACAGAGCCTTTGCTGGGATGGGACATGGCAAAGCGACAGTGATGGAACCTGGTTGGAGACGTCTCTGTCAGGCCTCCTGCCTCCCAGCCTGAGTCCTTTGTCTGGAGCAGGAGAAGGACAGGCTCAGCTTCCTGTCTGGCCTGAGGGAGGGCCCCTGTCCGGAGCTGGGCTGGGCTGGGCCTGTAGCCCCTCACGGGGCCTGGCTCCATCCTCACTGAGGGCACCTCCTTGGGCAGGGTCCACATTTGCTTCTCTCTGTCACCTTGGCCAGACCTGCCCCTTCTTCTCTCTACCCGTGAAATCACCTGTCCTGTCGGGCCAGCTGAGGCCTGACACTTGCTCCTCCAGGCAGGACCCTCTTCCCCCTCCCCCTGATCCCATCTCTGACCCCTGTGCATCCCCAGGTGGGTGAAGCCCCCCTCCACTGGGATGCAAGGGCCTCCATGCCTGATCATCTTTGCCTCCCCCCTGAGCTGTGGCTGCCTTCAAGGCTGGGCCTTGCCCAGAGTTCAGGGGTCCCGGTGGATGCCCAGGGCCTGACCCTGGAGATGAAGCCCCGAGAGGGCAAGGTGGCCCCCAGGATGTGGAAACCACAGGTGAGAGTTTCCCATCTAATTCAGGGTTCAGGGCCTCCCAGGATCCATTCAGCTGCGGGCGGAGGGCAAGGCCCACACTGGCCTCTCTTCACGGGGGCCTCCTGGGCGGGAAGATGGGAGGTGCTGGTAAGGGCGGGTCTGCATTCCTGCTTCTCAATGCAGGGATCCATTTCCATTGTGGGGACCGGCTCCCTAGGCAGCTGCCACTGGATCTTCCACAGAGATCTGAGCACCTGGCTCAGTGTGGCACGGGAAGCTCCCAAGCTGGAGAGCCCCAGAGAGCTCATCTCCTCCTAGGATCACAGGCACAGCAGGAACTGCCCTTGCCTCACCCTGCGCTGTGGCAGACCTTGCCCCTCAGTCCCAGCATTCTTCTGCTCTGGGCCCAGATGGAGGCCCAGGGTCCTTCTCCACGCAGAGCTCCAGGCAGCCACAGTGAATCGTGGACTTGGCATCACGTTTTCTAGATGATGCTGACGAGGCTGCATCATGCACATGGAGCGCCAAGGGTCATAGCGGGGATGGGACTTGTCAGGTCCCCTGGCTAGACACTGAGCAGGCTGGTGTTGCCTCCCCCACCCACCCCGCTTTGGCATCCACTGAGAACTGAGCAGACCGGGGCTGCTTGCGGGGTGCGGTAGCTGTGGTCTCCCCACCTGATGTCTCTGGAGCTCAGATCTGGGGGAGCAAGCATCATCGGGGGGCATGCCATGCTGCAGTGCTCCAGGGGAGAGGGGAGGGACTCCAGGAGGACTGGGGAGGGTCTGGGAGGGGCTCAGTCAGCGGCTGCAGTTTGAACCTGGGCTGCACCCGAGAGTTGGCAGGAGGAGGGTGGACAGAGCTTTGGGGCCAACAGTGGGTGAGCTTCTGGCTCCCTCTGTGTGGGCCATTCTGGTCAGGACTGTGGGCCCGGTGGGGAGTGGTGGGGCCAAGGGCTGGAGGGGAGAAAGAGTGAGGGCTGGAGAGAGCACAGCCAGCCTGGATGCCTTGGGCTGTGGTGACGTCCGACCCTCCTGTCCTCAGAGTCTGCTAAGGGGTCACTTTGGGAAGAGTGACAAGGATCTGGTCCAAGCTCTGCAGTCCCTGTGGCAGGGCCTGAGCCGCTGCACCATCATGCACTCTACTCCCACATACGAGGTAGGAGGGGGGTGAGGGTGGGCACCCTGGGAGTCAGCTCTGTGTGGCCACAGGGATCCTGACCTCCCCAAATGCAGGCTGGGTCTCAAAGGGGCTGGGAACCCTATGCCAACAAGGAGGCCCAGGGCCAGAGATGGGCTGGGCTAGATGGTCCTCATGGTCACCCTTGCCGGCCCTCAGTCTCCCAAGGGGGAGGCAGACTCGGGGAGGTGACATGCCTCTAGGAGTGACTGCAGAAGGTCACTCCTAGAAGCTGAGGCAGGCCACCTCTGAAGCCCAGTGGTTAGGGGTTTGATCACTGGGGTGGAGGGACAGGCCCCAGAAACCCGTGCTAGTGGGAGGTGTGTAACACACTGCCACCGCCTGTCCCCGAGGGTGCGCCACTAAGGCCAGCTGGGCCGTGTCCTGGGACCGCCTTCACTCGGGCCTGTCCATCTTCTTGTCTTTTTGGGAGTCAGAGCCTTGTGCGAAGTCTGCATATGGTGGTCTTCGGGGAGTACGTCCAGGCCCTGGCCGCCCATGTCAGGACGCTGGGGCCCGGGACGTCAGGGCACCTCAGTGCTCAGGTGGAGATGGACATCTGGATGCTGAACGACGTCTTCAGGGTGCACAGGGTGAGCCGCAGACCCCTCGGGTGGGTGTGGGGGCTGGGGGCCTCCATCCTCCCTTTCCAGTTCTCTCTCTCTCCGCCCCTGGCCTGGGCCTGACGCCCTCACCCAAACCACACACAGTTCTGCCGGTGCGGGGCCTCGAACCCAACACGCGAGGCCGGGGACCCTGCTCTCAGGGCAACGCTGTGAGCTGGGGGGCTGGGATGTCCAAAGGGGAGAGGTGGAGGCAGGGGCCCGAACAGGACAGCTGTGGGGAGCTCGGGAGATCACAGCGACGGGAGCACACCAGCGCTGACCAGTAGGACCGCAATCTTCCCAGCAGTGCCGGCCCAGGGGCCTGTGTGCTGGACTCGGGCGTGGGCCTTGGGTGGTGGGGGCAGACCGGGTCCTCCCTGGAGGAGATTGGGAGCCCAGGGCTGGGCTCACCCACCAGCTGCTCCCTGCAGGACCCGGGTTTGGACGATCTACAGCAGCCCATCCTCCAGCTCAGCAAGAGTGAGGGCAGAGAGACTGTGGATCAGCAGCTGGCCTCCTTCAGTGACAGGTTCCCCGGTTATCTGAGGTACGAGGCAGAATGAGGGGCGAGGGGTAGGGAGGGCGAGTGGCGAGCCACCAGGGGCCAGGGTGTGGGCAGGGCTGCACAGAGGGCGTGGGTCCCCAAGTATGGAGGGTCAGTCACTGCCAAGGACTGGGAACCTTCAGCTGGAGTCATGTGGCCCCGTGCCCTCCATTCCCAGATAGGGAAACTGAGGCCAGTGACTGGCAAGGACTCACCCAGGGTCCCCAGCAGGCCAGTGGGCAGTGCCGGACCATCACCTGCTTGGGGTTCGTAAGGGAGGCTGGTCTCCCTGCCCCCTGCTGCGAGACTTGACTGAACAGGACCCTCAGAGTGCTCCTGTCCTGACCCCTTCCCACAGTTGCCAGGCATCCTGGTAGGCTGTTTAGGGGTTTCCGGGAGGGAAAGGTGGGTGGGGACTTGGGGAACCCCCTGGTGTCCCAGCTGCCCTGGAAGACACTGCTCTAGACATCATTCACGCATGCTCATGGGTGCACAGACCCGGACTCACAGGTGCACAGACCCGGACTCACAGGTGCACAGACCTGGAGCTCACAGGTGCACAGACCTGGGGATCTCAGGTCACAGAAGCTCTCTCCTCCCTCTTTAGCTGGCAGGACAGTTCCGTGGCCGTGGAGGAGGAGACTGAGGTCAGGGGATGCTGCTCATGCTGCGACAGATTTCTCCAGCACTTGTTAAGGTGACCAAAGGTGTGAGGCTCCAGGGTGCTCCTCCAGGTGAGGCGGTAGGGCAGGGTCCAGCGCTCTGTGGGGTGGCCAGGTCAGGGGCCTGGGGGATGCAGAGGAAGCCAGGCCGAGGGGCTCAGGGGGAGCGTGGGTCGGTTGTTCTAAGTGGACACTGCATCGCCAGCCTGGGGGCAGCACCTGTGCTCCTGGCCAACGGTTCTCAAAGGTTGTGGTCTCAGGACCCCTGTACTCTCAACAATTACAGAATCAAAGCTGAGCAGTTACAGAGCCACAGCTCATGTGCTTATATCTATTGGTGGCTACCATACTAGAAATTAAAACTAAGAAATATTTATTAATTCATTTACAATATCTATTCATCAAAAATAACAGTAATTCACAAAAATTGAAAATTGGTGTTCATTAAATCATTATAAATAAAGTAAATGATAATTTATATTATTTGTATATGAATAGATTTGAAAATAAATTAGTATTTATATAAAAATAATATTCATTTAAAAATCAATTTATTTTAAAATAATGATAAATTCACGTGCTAACATTAATAATTATTTTTAACTGAAAAAATAAGAATATTCTGAAACCACAACAGAATCAATGATATGTGTGTCATGGTTTTACATTTTTGCCAGTCTCTTTGTCTGGCTCACTAGGAGACAGTGCACAGGGAGATTCTCACCTCGGCCTCCGCATTCAGTCTGTTGTCATGTGCTGTGTTGGCTGAAGTGTGTAAGGAATGTCCAGCCTCTCAGAGACATACTGCTGGACAAGGGAGAGGTATTTTAATGCCTTTTTAAGGCAATTGTGGGTCTTCTGCTTTGATACCAGCCCAAAACAGGACAGGTGGGAGTTTATTAAAGATTCCTCACCATGTGGATTCTGAAACCACCTTGGTGAGTTTTGTGAAATGTGCATCCTCTGTCAAGTGACACCCGTTGGTCGGTCTTGCCCTTCCAATGGCTCTTTGACCCCTGGGTGACTTTGTATATCGGGTGTTTGTCACTGGCAAACACGGGTCATGGGGCGATGCAGATCTTCTAGATGTTGACACGTTTGATGACACATATCCAAAAAGCACCTTTGTTAGCATCACTGTCGAGCTCGTCAGGAGAGTCCTCGGTTCTCGGAACTCTCGGGCTCCCTGTGAAGACTCACTTTTTCCCAAACCCTCGTTTTCGCCTGAGAGCTCAGATTTTAACCTTGGCAACAGATGCCGTCAGCTGTTTCCCTTGAACTGCCAGCTCCCATCACTCATTTGTGAGAAGATGCTCGTCCACAACTCCAGCCTGAACAGGCATAGTCTGTCTGTCACTCATTCTTTCAAGTCCAAGTGGTGTTCCCTCAACACGCGGCTGGTTCAGCTCGTGACTCAGACACCGCCCGCTCGGGCGCTCTTCCTCATGGCAGCCGCTGTCCTTCCCTCCTGGCATTTCACCACGCAGAATATTCAAGAGATGTGTACGCAAGGGTGGAGATTCAATACAATTAAGTACTTTTACTGCTTCCTCAGTACGCTGGGTTTTTCCATGTGTGCGTGGTAGTGAAGGGACACTGACGACGGGTAGAGCTTGGTGCCCCTGCCTTGATGTGGGCCAAGGTTCCAGCAGCTCTCTCCATCGTGGCTTTTCCACCAGTGTAATGTCAGTGTCAGTGGCAGCCCTGGGAAGAGGGCAAATAATGCTTCAGTGTTATGAAAATGGCTTTGACCTCACAGGTCCCCTGAAAGATCTCAGGACCCTAGGATTCCGTGGAACACACTTTGAGAACCACTGGTCTAGCTGCACTGGGCTCTTCTCCCCATGTGCCTGCTTTATATCGACTTATACGAAATTGCGGATATTTGATCATTTTTTCCCCGTACAAATGATGAATTCATATGATTCACACATATTGTCTTTACGTCTTTGCGTGTTCTGTCCCACCTACCTGGAATGCCCTTCTCTGTTGAAATTCTCCTCCTTCAAGGCCTGGCTCCTAGACCCCCATCTGCATTGCCCACTTCCTTTTCTGAGACACTCAGCACAGTCTTCCTTCAGCCAAGAGCTGTCTTGTCTACTCCTTGGCGAGTGTCTCGGTGGTGGAGGACCAGCCGTGTTTGTCTTTGTCTCCACAGGGCCTGTTGGCACCCTCGCTGCCCTGCGGAGCTGGAGGTGAGCGCTAGTGTCAGGATTCTGCTCGCTCTTGGGGCTGTGAGAGTCATGTGGACCCGGCACCCAGGTAAAGCACAGGATCTGGGTGCCCCTGGCCACTGGGTGCCACTTCACAAACGGCAGCCTGATATCTAGAAGGAAGCCGATCCTCCTCAAGTCTGGAATCTTCTATCAGAAAGAACCCTGAACTCTGGCTGCAGCTGTCACGGACACCGGGCGATGAAAGGCTGGCACACTCAGTGGTCCACCCAAGAGAATGGGAGGGCGACAGGGATGGACAGATCCAGACACTCCTGGCGCGGAACGTGGTGGGAAGGAAGACACCCTGCAGGGACAGTGAGGACGAGAGGGGTCAAGAGGAAAGCTGGAGTCCAAGGATGCTCCCCCGTCGTGGCTGCATCCTGCCCCTTTCTTGTGCGTGTGACAGCTTTATTGAGACACAGGTCACACACCACGCAGTTCACTCACTCAAGTTTAACGTGCCCTTCAATGGTTTGGGTATATTCACAGAGTTGTGCGAGCATCACCACAGTCGGCTCTAGAACGTTTTCATTACCCTAGAAAGAAACCCTGTACCCTTCAGCTATCACCCCCAATCCCTCTTCCCCGCCCTCCCCCAGCCCTAAGCAGTCGCTCCTCTGCTTTCTGTCTCAGTAGATGTGCCTGTTCTGGACACTTTACATAAAACGAATCCTATAATATGAGGTCTTCTGTGGTTAGCTTCTTTCACTTAACTTCATATTTCAAGGCTCATCGATATTGTGACACGTGTCAGTACTTGCTTCCTTCTTAGAGCTGAATAATATTCCATATATGGATGGTCCACGTTTTCTTTATCCATTCATCCGTTGATGGACATCTGAGTTGTTTCCACTCTGGGGCTGTTATGAATAATGCTGCTGTGAGCATTCGTGTACAAGTTTGTGTGTGGACCTGTGTTTCCAGTCCTCCTGTATTCTACTCAGGCATGGAATTGCTGGGTCAAATGTAACTCCATGGTTAACTTTCTGAGAAACTGTAGACTATTTTTCCAAAAGGGCTGCACCATTTTACATTCCCACCAGCAATATATGAGGATTCCAATTTCTCCACATCTTCATCAACACTTTTTATTATCTGACTTCTGGACGACAGCCATCCTCCTGGGTGGCTATCTGAAGTGGTGTGTCATTCTGAATTAATTTGCATTTCCCTGATGGCTAATGATGTTGAGCATCTTTTCCTGTGCTTAGGGGCCATTTGTGTATCTTCCCTGAGAATTATCTACTCAGATCCTTTGCCCATTTTTAATTGGGTTATTTGTCTTTTTATTGTTGAGTTGTAAGCATTCTTCATATATTCTAGATACAAGTCCCTTAGCAGATACATGATTTGCAAAAATGTTATCACATTTGACAGATTGTCTTTTCACTTTCTTGATAGTGTCCTTTTGAAGCAAAAAAGTTTTAAGTTGATTTATTTTTTGTTGCTTGTAATTCTGGTGTCATATCTAAGAAATGATCGCCAACTCCAGGATTATGGCGACGTACTCCTGTGTTTTCTTCTAAGAGTTGTATAGTTTTCCCTGTTATACTTGATACCGTCAGAGTTAACTTTGTATATGATGAGTGTAGGGCTCCGACTTTGTTCTTTGGCACGTGGCTCTCCAGTTATCCAGCACCGTTTGTTGAACAGCTTTTCTTTCCCCAGTGAATTGTCTTGGTGCTCCTGTCAAGGGGTGGAGGAGTGGGGTCCAGGAAGGCTTCTCAAAGGAGGGACAGACGCCCACCCCCGTCAGGTAGAAGGAGGGTAGGAATTTGTCGGAGGACAGGGGAGGCTGGGGAGGGAAAGACCTGAGAGATGGGCTGGGGTGAAGACCGGGAGGTGGAGCCAGAGGTGGGGCGGCATAGCTGGGGCCGGGCAGAGGGCGGGGGAATGGTGGGGGTCAAGCGGTCCTCACGAGCCCTTGGCAGCAGGAACTGAAGAGCTTCCGTCCAGGGTGACCCCATTTTGGGACCATTGCCCCGGCAGCTGCTGGCAGAGGATGGAGGGGACTGACAGGACGGTGTGACCTTCTGCTTGTGGGACTCAGGCCCTCTGTCTGTCTGTCCATCTGGGAGACAGAGGAGGGAATCGTCGTTGCTGTGTCACTTGCACAGTCTCATCTGCTCTGTCTCCTCCCT